CCTTTGTCGTTCACAGGAACTGGCAGAGTACATCGAAGCCCGGGACTCAATGCGAAGGGGGCGGGGCAGCGCGGGGCGTGGGTCTCGGGTCTCGTGGGGCGGAGGCTGGGGGAGGAGCCGCCGCCACCCTCGACCGCTTTTTGTGCCGCTTTTTCTTCTGTGTGCTTTTTTTCTCCCTAATATTTCCTTGCGGAACCACGAGGAAGCCTTTCCCCATAAATCTATAAGCCCCAGCGCGTTGTCCCTTTCAAAACATTGCAGGTCGGGCACGCGGGTGGCGGTGGCCGGCCCGGAGCTGGCAACGCACTGGCGGACAGCCTGAGCTGGCAGCCGTCGGGCACGTGGCCATACTCAATTTCACCCCCGACGGCTTATTCGCCGTGAAGCTGCCATGAGACCGCAGTAAAGTCCGAGCAGACGACAAATATTTGCGTCCCGGGGCCAGTTTCCCCGTTTCCGGTCCCATGGACTGACCAGCCTCTTGACCCTCACCCTTGCGTCCGGCTGCATGAAGTGACGAACAACCGCAGGGACTCTGTGTGTGTGCGTGCGTGTGTGTGTGTGTGTGTGTGTGTGTGAGGGAGAGGCGGGGGAGAGGGTAAAGGGCAAGAAATAGGACGAGAAAGCGTCTGGAGAGACTATTAGGGTTGACCCTCGGAGACCCCGCCCGACTCCCCAGACTTGAACCAAACACGACGGGCCTAACCGCCGTAACCCCGGACGAGGGGAGGGATTATCCACGGTTATATTTTTGGTGTAATGCATCGCGCGTTTTATTCCATTCCCCCCATAACAGGAGGATATTATTTCCGGACAGAGTGCAGTACTGAATGGTCCGGTCAGTTTGCTCCGCTGGGCCCGGAGGGTCCTTCGCCCGTTCACTTGGAAGATCGGTCCGGAAAGGGGGGTGCTGGCCGCTGGGCGCGACGAAGGACAAGAGTGCGTAGTGGCCCTCACCCAGGTGCTCTGTGACACAGGCGGGCTTCCGTTCTTTTCTCAGTTAGAGTTTGGCTCGAAAGTTGGCAGTGACTTTTTTATCAAACACATTCTAAGGACACCTCTGGTACTGGTTCGAGCCACCAACATTGATGTTAGCCGGAAATCTACCCTTGGGGTTCAGCTTTCGATTCAGAGACTGTGGCGGTGGTAAGTCAGCTTCCTCATTGCGAGTCTCACTTAAAGCGATCCCGGACTGCCGCTGGGAATCTCCTGCTAAAAACAGCACGCCATTCTTGGAGCCAGTTTAGATGCCCTCGTGACCCTCTCCGAGCGACGGCGAAAGGAACTTGTCAAACGCAGGCTGCCGCCTCGGCTCCCCTTCGATGACTCTCCGTATCGCCCGAAATCAAACTCGCTCTGTTAATTTGCGTCCGATTCAGCCTCGGCCTGGCTTGGCCACCATAGCGCTATCTCCGGCCCCGCTCGTGATTTAGTAGATTAAAAATCGGCGGAGACAAGACGAGGGGTGCACCGACCGGCGGATCGAACAATTGATGAGCGTCACGGGGACGGTGATGGGAATCTGCGGAGACAAGATTTGGCAAAGAGGTCCCACAAAAAAAGAGCATCCTTTTCCACACAAGGAGAAGGACACGGCAATCGGAGCACGTCGGCGGGGTCAAAGAGTTATCCCTTTGTGCTTTGTGTCACGCTCAAGCTCATCATTGTCGTCTTTCTCTGCGACCGTTTTTCCCACCGCGGGCAGGTAGATAGAGCTGGCTCATCTCCGCCAATTTCAAGCCCTTTGTCTCGGCCACACAAGGGCAAAGGGACAAAAAAAAGAAATAAAAATATGTGACATGGGCGTTACTTAGAATCTTGCTGAAATTTCAAAAGGGGGTTTATCTGCAACCATTAAGGCAAAACTAAATACTTGATAGCAAAACTGCTCAGTTCACTGCTTGACAGCACTTGAGAATTGCAACAGTGTAAGTCAAAGATGACATCCGGCCCTGGTTCGTTAGTGCTTCGCGGCTAACCGCCATCCTCGCAGAAATTACACCACGAGGCGTATAGGTAACGAGCAACATTGTACGATAGATAATCGCGTTGATTGGGCTCAAATTTTTTATTCGAGAAAAGTTGTTATCATTCCTGTCTGCGTGATGCATCATCTTTGATATTGGAACATGTCCTGCTCGCGAATTCCGCTCGCCGGACAAGGAGCCGCAGTGGAGCCACCCTTGCAGCGATGATTTATGGTGCGGCTTGTAATAGGCATACATTATAGGTTGGCAACAATGCCGCCTATAAAGGAGCACCAGTAGCGTACCAGGAATGCGGCACCCATTGTTGCCAACCCACCTAGCGCCTGGCGGCCCTGGCGCGGCAGAGCCACCCGGCGTAGCGCCTCCGCCGCCACCCCACCGATGCCTCCCTTTTTGCCTATAAGCTGACGAGACAAGGGCAAGTTGTGTTATTAGCGCTAACAGCCTTCGGTCCGCTGGCTGCAACACCAGTGCTGCCACCCTCGCCACCCCCGCCAACCTGCGCGCGCATTTTGCATTATTAATCTAGAAACAATTACCGCCTGCACGACCACGACCGGCGGCGGGTTGCATCCCCCGCACTGGTGGAGCGTTCCCCTTTATCCGGTCGATCTGGACCGTTTTCATCTAGACAAATCCACTTATTTCTGTCGCTGTGGCTTCAAGCTGCTTTCTGCCACCCGTCCGCGGGGGTTGGTAATCCGCAGGCCGGTTTCTCGATAAGCATCGTGAGCAAATACGCGTCCGGCAAACCTAACCTCAAAGTGAGAGCGAAAGCCTCCGACAACCTCCAACTCTCTGTGTCTGTCTGTCTGTCTGTCTGTGTCTGTCTCTGCTGGACTGGCAAGCACTAATTACAACGGCCACAATCACTGGGGTCGTTCATTAGGGCACCGCGTTGACCGTAAACAGCGAAAAAAATTGTAGCAGCGTCATAGTGTGGGACTGAGCACACCGGCACAATGGGACAATGGGGGCGGCCATGAATGAATTAAATTAAGAGCCATCTCCTCGACACCGCGGCACGGCGCGGCAGCGCGCAGGGGTGGCGCACCCCTCCATGAGCTTGTGATTCTGGACCAGATAGTGTAATTATTTTATGCAATGGTCATCCCTTGAGAAGCGGGGTGAGGATTAGGCAAGGGCTTTCAAAAGACACTTTGGGAATGGTTAGGAAAAATGGACGAAATTCCTCGCAGTTTGAGGAAAGATGTTCGGCCAGGAAGTCACAGAGTTGCAATCCGAATGACATTTCCCCCGATGGGCTGGTTCTTTTTTCTCTGCCTAGGGTGCTGGCAGAATCATCGATTAATCTTCTCGTCCGCCAGAAGAATGTCGTCACAGGGCGCAAACGACATCTGTAGCACTCAAGACGGGTGGGAAGCGCGGGGATGACAGATATCAGCGCGCGGGGCGCAGGGCTCGTATATCAATGTGAATGCGGCGCTGCAATCGCAAGACCACAAATTACGGAGCATTATTCGCCTACATTTTGTCGCGAGAGATAAATGATGTGACGAGAAAGAGAACTAACTACCGCGAGGAAGATGTAGTGTGATGGCGCTGCGGAGGCGGTGTGTGTCAAGAATAAGAAGAGGAAGAAGAGAAGAAGAAGAAGAAGAAGAAGAAGAAGAAGAAGAAGAAGAAGAAGAAGAAGGAAGAGAGTGGGTGCAAACGCGGATTGACACCGGCAACATGGAAGGCAGACGTTGAGGATGAGCAGGGGACCAGAGAGGGGTGAACTCTCTCTCTCTCTTCTCTACCCCTCTTCCGCGGCGATGCGCTCCCGCAATAAAATCTCCCCCAAAGCATATGCCGGCAGTCTAAACTAGCCCCGAGTATCACTTGTTTCGCTCGACTGGGCTCCGACCAGCCAGCAGCGGCACCGTCAGGGCAAAGCTGGTTCCGCCAACTTTTTTTTCGTCGTCTTTTTTGTGCGGTTTAAATCAAAAGGGTGCAAACAACGACACCCATGTATCGGCAGGCGTGTGCGGATCCATTAGGGAGGCCCGGATGCCGAGGGGGACTCCAGGTGGACTCGCTGGGGGGCTCCTACTGCGTCCCTGAAACGGTGGTTGCTCAGTCGCTCTGTCCAGTGTGGATGGAACCACACACTTTATTTTCAAGCAGTCTACCGTTTATAAGCTTGAATCCAAAATCTTTCAAATATCTAACAAGAACAGCATACGTTCTTTTATTGCAAACCTGTTGACTGCGGGCGGACGCCACGCGCTTGGAACTCGGCCAATGACCGTCAATGACTGACCAGGGAAAATGTCAACAAAATTTGACTCGATCTGAATGGACATTGTTCGCAAGTGAAACGGTCGTGAAAGGGAGAATGGAGACAAAGACGCCTGGCGCGATATTGGCCGCCGTACGCCAATCACAGTGGGTCGAGTGGTGAAAGAAGGACGCCGTTCAAACACGCCGCGCTCGTTTATTTGGATTACGGCGCACAATGGCGCGCCACTCTTAAATTATTTGCGCGATTTGCATACATTACCGCGGCACCGCGGCAAAGTGGCAAGAACAAAAGCCGATCAGGTTCTCCTCGCGTCCACCGGTCGGATTTGGGGTGACGCGATGCGCGCGGCTGTATTTTGAAACACTGTCAGCTCTCTGGAGTGATGTGCGTTTCATGAAGGTGTGCACGGGCCATGGAAAGTGGCAGAGTGGAACGTGAAAAAGAATCGAACTCCAAACTTTGTGTTACTTCTCTCCCTCCTGAAAACATTTTCCCCCTTTTCCCACCAAATTGCGGCTTGGGTTGTCAGCACCGATCTACCCAGAAATTTCACACACCTGCTGCGTCACTGCCTTTCACTAAATAGTTTTTTGTTGTTTTTTGCAGGGCCGCTTACATGTGCGAGGGCGGCTACGGCCCCTTGCCCACCATCCATGGCGGCGTGGCGGGACTGGGCGGCGGCCTGGCCCTCGGGGGCGGCTTCTCGGCGGGGCTGGGGGCAGGGCTGGGGGCGGGGCTGGGGGCGGGGCCGGTGGGCGCCCCCGTGGGGCCTCTGGACGTGCGAGTGCCCAGTTCCGGCTCGGCCTCCGCGGCGGGGGCCGCGGCGTCCGCGGTCGGCAAGAAGGACAGCGACCACATCAAGCGGCCCATGAACGCCTTCATGGTGTGGTCCAGGCTGCAGCGGCGGAAGATCTCACAAGAGAACCCCAAGATGCACAACTCCGAAATCTCAAAAAGATTAGGTGAGCTCGAGCAGAGTCTTAATTAATCAGTCCCAGGCCTCGAAACAACCACCTGACCTGGTATTGGAACGCCCGACAGGTGCCGAGTGGAAGCTTCTGTCCGTGACGGACAAGAGGCCCTTCATCGACGAGGCCAAGCGGCTGCGCGACGTGCACCTCAAGAAGTACCCCGACTACAAGTACCGGCCGCGACGGAAGCAGAAGACCGTCAAGAGCCAGGGCTACCCGTACTCCATCCCGTACCCCTCGGTCCAGATGGACGCCCTCCGAGCAGGTTCGTACCCTACCAAAAAAGCGCGCTGTGAGTTTGGCACGTTTTCGATTTTGGAAATGTGACACGCCGCCGAGGCGGGCAGGCAGGGCTGGCACCCCCGCGGCGTTCGAAGCAGGGGTGTCCGAAGGGGTGGGAGTGGGAGGTGTCATTGTGCTCACGTCACACCCCTCCCCTCACACCTCTCACACCCCTCACACTTCAGCGCCCTGCGGCGCCAAAACAGGTGCAATCCTGTAAACTTTTACTGGCCCGTCGTAAAGGCCAACTCATTACTCCGAGTGCTGTATTACGGTTACACACAAAAAAAGGTATCAACTGCTCAAAAAAAGACCATAGGCTTCTTCTGCGTTATCTGGTGCAGCGTTATATTTTTGTGAATCCGAATCGCAGTTACCACGTCGGAGAGCCACTCCCTGATTAGGATGGATTAGGGTCATAGGATGCTCGGATTCACTGCCTCCAAACTGCCTGTCAAAATCGAATTGCAGTGAGACAAACGTAATCACGCAGCAGTACCACTCTGGGACAAAAGTGCCAGTATGCCGTGTAAACCTTTTTTAAGGTTATTTTCAACTTTTTTTCTGAAGAAGCCGCAATTTTCCGTTCGAAACAGGTATTTCTGGGCAATGCTCGGCGTCACTTCGCGTTACCCGGGGCATCCTACTCCGCTGTTTTAGCCCGTCGCTCCTGGGGAATGCGCCCCATTTTTCACGGCCGGCTTGGTAAGGCACTGCTGCACGAACGTGGAGGTGTCCGTCTGTTTAGGCATTTTCATCATCGGTTTCAAATTCCCCGGCCATACCGGCGAGCCAGCCACCCGCGAGGCAAGGTCGGGCCGTCCGAAGAGGAGGCAGGGGGATCACGAGACTAAACGGAGTTTTCTAGATCAAAAAATCAGTTTGGATTTCTTCAGAAGAGAGCAAGTAGGTCAAAGTGAGGTTAAAATAAGATCTAGGGATGACTGACGACAAAATAACGCTCTCTGACTGCAGTTTGACCTCATTTTGACACCGTTTTGACTTACCACACTCCCTGGGTTTACCTGAATAATCTGATTTTTCAAATGTAGCATCCCGAAAAGCTTTTCCTTTAGATTTTTCACCGCGGGTCATCGCGCCAAACAAATTGCAACAAAAACGGCTCCTCACCGATCAGCCTGTTTTCTTTACTTTCTTATTTTTTCTTCCTGGGACTCGTGCGCCGTATTTCAACCGGGTGGCAATACCGGCTTGCTACCGGGGCCTGCCGGCCGTCGGCGGCAAAGAGTTTGATTTATCTGAACAAAAACAAAAGCCGAGGAGTGCGACTGCGCGACTGCGGCCGTGAAAGGAATTCATAATTAGCGGGCCGGGCTCTTCACGCTCACGGCTCCACGGCCCGTACTGCACCCCGCTCAACTCAACAGGCGGGGCCGCCATCAAATATTTAACGCAGCCTGACATTTCTCGCCTCGACGCTCGTTGGAGATGAGGAAGGGGCAGCAGGGGCAGGTCGCCAAACTCCACTCTAATAATTATTCTCCCCGGGGGCGATGGCCACTTGGTTTGGTGCGCGACTTTGCATCGCACTGCGATGCCTGACCTAACCTAACCTAACCTTAGTCTTACAGTGTACGACCTTAGTCTTACAGTGTCTGACCTTAGTCTTACAGTGTCTGACCTTAGTCTCACAGTGTCTGACTTTAGTTTCACAGTGTCTGACTTTAGTTTCACAGTGTCAGACTTTAGTCTTACAGTGCCTGACCTTAGTCTTACAATGTACGACATTAGTCTTCCAGTGTATGACTTTGGTCTTTCTATGCATGACTGTTAGTCTCACAGTGTAGGACTTTCGATCACCTAAGGGATCCGGACTGCGTCCCGGAAACGCGCCGCGGCTTTTCGTCGAGTCGTTTATCGGAGTGGGGCCGAGTCGCCGCGACGCCATAGCGTTGGAAAGCAAACCACTTGACGCCTGGTTAGCGCGGCGCCTTCTCTCTCTCTCTCTCTCTCTCTCTCTCTCTCTCTCTCTCTCTCTCTCTCTCTCTCTCTCTCTCTCCCGTGCGGCCTTAGTGTCCACACCATTTTCTCCCTCGACGCACCGCGCGGCGCTGTGATTGGGGAAGCAAATAAATATTTGTCAACACGCGGCGTCCGCCTCACCGCGAAGCGCAGCGCAGAGTGTGTTTGTCCGGCTTCTGTCACCACCTGCTGGGTTTAGCCGGCTGGCTTTGCTTTAGCTTTGCTTTAGAGACCCGCCAGTGCCGTTAGGACGGTGGCCCCCGCCGTTTACGCCCGCCATTTTCTTTCCTTTTACTTTTTACCAGGTTTTTACAGACGGGGCTACTTTTTAAGGTGCACACCGTGGACTTGACGAGGTGGATCTACTGTATTCTAGGAGAGAGTGCATCCATGCGAAATGAAGGGAACTAACCAAGGTGCATGACTCAGCCAAAAAACCATCCAACTCCAAAAAATCTGAATCATTCAAAAACTTCGAACTCAATAAAAATGAATTTTGAGCAAAACTTACAGCGAGTATATGCACAAAATCATAATATTTTTAAAGAACTTGATCATTTTACAGAAATTCAAACTGAAATTAAATGATGAGAAACAACATAAGCGTTTCCAAAAATGAAAATTGACACTTTTGTCTGTTTGCTTACCAGAGTGCTTTCCTTGACAAAATCATTCCAGCAACATACTTTTTTTTCTTTTTCCTTCAATTCTCATCCAATCTTCGTGAATTTTGGACTAGTGAAGGCCTCTTGACCTGTCGAGCTCTGTCCCAACGGAGCCCCTCCCCGAAAGTGATTATCACGAGACGCCTCCGCGCCCCATACGCGGGGCCAAGCGCGGGGCGGGGCGGGGTCGCGCGTGCTTGCGGTTGGTGGGCGTGTTCTTTATTACCCACGATTGTCTCTCTGCGGCCCAGCGACCCTCCGCGGCCCCACGGCGGGGAGAGAGAGAGAGAGACAGAGAGGGGAGGGGGGAGTGGGCCCCGCGCTCGTTTTATTGGATCAACTTCCATTGTGGCGGATAAGCCCCGCCCGGCTAGTTGTTTGGATCCGCAGCTTTGGCCGCCCCGCCGTCGGACACTGGGCAACTGTCTCGGAGCGCCATCCGGCGTGCGGGAAATTGATGGTTCGATCCCCGCTACTTCCCTCCTTTTTTCTCCCTTTTATTTCGTCCCTTTTCCCCCTTGCTCTGTTGTTTGCCTAGGAAAGTGATACAAATTCCGCGTGCGGTGGAGCGACAGCGAAAACAATCCCCCAGCAGTGTAGGCGCTGCCAGTCTAGCTGCTTTTTAAACTGTGATAAAAATTAGAATGCGGCTGCTTACCATTTTATTGCGCGGAATGATCTGCTTCCCTGCCGGCCCTGCGAGGGCTCGAAGAGGACTGGAAGAGAACGCGAGGAGAACTCAAAGAGGAGCTGATAAACTGGGGCCACAGAACATACACGAAGAGGATGCACGCGTGAGCGGGAAAGGGAAGAGAGAGAGAGAGAGAGAGAGAGAGAGAGAGAGAGAGAGAGAGAGAGAGAGAGAGAGAGAGAGAGAGAGGCATGAAACGAAACAAAGTTGTCGTGAATGTCACACAAATAGCATGGCAAGGGTTATATAGGGGCACATAAAGCAATCTTATTTATGGTGATAATGCCGTGCGGAAGGAGTGGGGGGGGGGAGGGGGCTGAAGGGGGTACGCGTACTCGCGGGGTTGGGCCGCGCCCGCCGCGCTCCTACACTCTTATCTCGATAAGGATAAATAACCGGCTGAGCGGTGCGCCGTGCTGCGCCGCCACTGGTTGGCCGTGCCAGTGTGGTGCCGCCATCGCAGGGCAGACACCTGGGATGGCCGCGGGACTGCGTCGACTGTGTACTGCAGCGATAAGCCGGAATTTATCTGCCATCAGCGTATTTGCTTATGAGCCGTAATGGCCGCGGCTCGTGTGGAAAAGCAGCCAGTTTTTGTTTTGCGGCGGCGAATCACGCGAGAGGGCGGTGCGCTGTAAAGAAGCGAGCTCGTTAGCACGCGTGCACGTTTGCACGTAACGCCTAGCGCCACGGAGAGGCACACTGGGCCAGGAAACCAGTAGAAGCGGCCAAAATCCCGGTCGAGTTTTGAGGGGTTCATATTCTTCACTCCTCTTGCAAATTTCTACTCAAAACTTCAATATTTATTAATTTCTACCTTGACCTTCAGTGTTTGATAAAGTTCTACTTTGATCTTCAATGTTCGTAATCTATGTATCGTGTGGCAAAATTTTACTTCGATTTCTATTAGCGATCAACTTGGGCTGTGTTTGGTTCGTTTCACTGGGTCTTGAAACTTTTTCATTCTCACTTCTGAACGTTCTTGATTGTCAAGTAAGAGGTTCTTCGTTGTTTGTCCAAATTTATCAGGTTCCCGACTTGCGATCCTCTTCAAAGAACATTTTATTCCACGTTATAATAATCGAAACAAAGAAACGGAGTAAAATGTTGCAGCCGATGATCAGCGCGGCGTTATGTAAAACGTGCACAGCATCGCGTGGACAAAGGGGGCCCCTCTCTGACACAGGGGCTGAAAGAGACAGGAGTCAATACTGCCAAAGTCGTCCCGCAAGGGGGAAAGAAAAGGGAAAAGTAGGAGGGAGGGAGACGGGCATAATGGAGCGTCTTTCAGTGCTTTCAGTGCGGTGGCTTTTCTCCCAATTTGCTAACTTGCCCCACTGCTGTGAGTCACTGTCCACTCCACTGTCGGGATGACGGCCTTTGATTGAGTTCGATCCGAGAATCACTGTTGTGGGTCGCCCGCCCCTTCCCATTGTGACTTCCTTCCACAATAAAACAAGTCGAATAGAAAATCGATGTTTTGGAAATAATGAGTGGGGATCGAGTCGTATAGTTCAGGCGGGCGACTTGCTTACTACTGTTCATTTCGCACAGCGGCCATGAAAACAGGCAAAAAGAAAAACACAGCCGTTGCCTGCAAAAAAAACAATATGCTCAGGATACTGCGAATGTTTTCATCAATCTGATTTTCGTTGTTTATGAATTGTTCGTATTTTAGTAACATTTCATGCCTGCTAAAACACAGCAAATGAGGTTTCTGGATTTCCCAGGCGACTTCCAACCGTTTTATTGCCCTAAACGATAATCGCACACAAAAAGTAACTTCTTAAATCAAGAAAAAATAACTTTTTTTAAAATTTATTTTTAAGAAAATTTTTCTTTGTTCCAACCTTTTTCAGAAAAAATTTCTTGAGGTAGAATTTTTGTTTTATTAAAAAAAAAATGATTATTTTTTGTTGTGGAAATCAAATTGCTCCTGTGTGGTTCTGGACTTTGAATCCTTGCTCTCCTTTCCAGGCATGGGCGGCATGGGGCAGATGGGCCAGTACTACGGCCCTGCCTACGGCTCCCTGTCCGCCTCCATGGCCGCGGCGGCGGCCGCCGCAGCTGCGCAGCACGGCGGCATGTCGGGGCTCACCGCACCTGCACAGGTGGGTCCGGAGTTTGACTTGTCGCGGCGACGGGCGACCCTGCATCAGACTGACTCCGAGAGTCGTTTCCGTCGCTCTGTCTCTCCAGCACCCACACGGTGCGCCCAGACTGCCAGAGAGACAGAGCGACGGAAACGACTCTCGGAATCAGTCTGCTATGGGCTAGTTCCTGGAAGCGGGAGAAGGGCGCAACCGCTTCAACCGCTATGCTGCCTGACGGTTTAGTTTTACATAAAAAGGCGCAGTGCAGTAGCATCTTGGCCTGGAAGTCTCTTTCATTGTGTCATCCGAGATGCAGCGCGGCGACCGCGAACGAACACACTCGCGCGCTCTCTCGCTCGCTCTCACTCACACAGCTACACACACACACCTATACACACACAGACACACACACAGAGGACGCAACAGCTACTGGTACAGGCTTCTGCTCCACTTCCCGGACGTTAAAGCGTCAACACAGACACACGCACACACACACACACACACACACACACACACACACAATACCGATTCTGCCATTGCATGCAAGAATGCTCCAGGTGGAGTGTGCCGTGTGCACATCAGCTAAATTTAGAGCGCATGCGGAGCGAGACACCATACGATTGAATGAAGACAACTGCTTTCGCATTGCAGTCTAGGTTTTTTTTTTTCAAAAATAATGTTTTGATTCTTTTTCAACATTTTTAACAGTTAGACGCGCAGAGGTGAGAACACGGTTGAAACACGAGAAGGTGTGTGTTCCTCTGGTGACCACCGGGACGACACATGTAACACTCCCTGACCGGCCGGTGGTGGCCATCAGGTGCAATCAGTCGTGAACGGCGGGGAACACGAGTGGTGTGTGTGTGTGTGTGTGTGTGTGTGTGTGTGTGGTGTGTGTGTGTGTGTGTGCGCGCGCGCGCGCGCGCGCGCATATATATATATCATCGAGGAGAGACGGGTGCCGTTTGCAAGCACCCACGCATCCTTCTCGATTCGATAAATTTATTCCAAAGCGATGCGACAAATAATTTTAAAGACCGTTATACATACGTAAAATAAAAAAAGGAAGTCCATGAGTCTATGTCACCGGCGTGGCATCTTTAACATTACAAAGTCCAGCACCTTGGAGATGCCTCAGCGTCAGCGAAATGTGTGGAACGGAACCAAGGCCCGTAAGGTGTTGGTGCGGCCGCGTGGCCGGCTGATTCGAAACGACAGTGCCTTTGGTCTCTGCAACTCTCTCGCACGCCTGCGGAGTCCCGCAGGAGTGCGAGAGAGACAGGATTACGGAACGCCTTCTCAGGATCAGCCTGTCCCAGAGAACAACAAGTCTCGGACACCGTCGCCTTGTCTGGACGACACACGCCGCGTGCTTACGCCACGGGTGTGAAGAAACGAGCGGAAAAATAAAAGCATTTTCGTTTTCACCTCGTAAAAATCCGTACAGTAACGCAAACTATCCGCAACGTCTTCATGCCTGTCAGTCCGGGGCAGACCGAAGGCAGAGCCCCAGAGCCCCGTGCGGCCCGCAACCTCGTTAGCGCGGTGTCGCAGCGCGGCGTGACCCCTGCCCGGCAGAGTCGCTGCGTCACTCTGTCTCTCTCGCGACCCCGGGGCACGCCCCACGCGTGAGACAGAGACGGCGCGACGGAGAACGACTCTCCGGACTCGGCCCGCGTGGCCGGCCCGGCCGTGGCTAAGTGAGCCTAGTCACCACAAAGTATGCGACCAGGGTTCTAAACGCCAATCCCCGAGGCAATCAAATCACGATTTCCGAAGCGCGTCGTCGCGTGGCGGGGCGGGGCGGGGCGGGGCGGGGCGGGGGCGGCCGGGACGTGACGAGCTGTTCTTGTCACCGCCGTGTCTCGTCGCCGCACCTGGCGGGCCTGGCGATGATGCGACAGGTGAAAGGCGGCTTGCGACGCGCGCTGGATTGTCGTGGATTGTCTTGGAGGAAACGACACTGGCAGTGACGACGCAGCCCGAGATTGCCGGGGGGAGTGATGAGGAGTGGACTGCTCGTAAACACCCCACTATTGATTGACCTCACGTGATTCCCCCTTCCCTTTTTCATCCCTCTCCATCGGGCCATCGGGGAAGCATTGTCGCCGGCCGGGGCACTCGTAAACCGGAGAACTAATTTGCTTGTCTGTTTGGAGAGGGGGGAGGGGGAATCCCCGGCCGTCAGCGCGCATAGAGACCGGAAAGAAAATAGCCGCCACAATGAAGGGCCTATTCTCCCGACACTGATTCCGAGAGTCCTTTTCGTCGCTGTCTCTCTCACACCTTTACTGGGCGCACCATGGTGCGATGGAGACGGAGCGACGAATCAGTCCGTGTGCCCCTCGGCCGGTCGACCGGCCGGCCCTCCACCTTGATTAGGTTCATGGTCACGCGGCACCCACGAGCACCGGCTCAGTGTCGGAGGGATCAGCAGGAAGAAAAGAAATAAGTTGAAATACGGTGGCGGTGGTACTCGAACCCGGGATCCTCTGCTTCCAGGTGGTCAGCATCGACGCCATGGCCAAGTACACGCTGGAGGCTGAGAAGTACCGGACGCAGTACCTGCCGCCGTCCTCGCTGGCCATGTACTCGACGGCCGACTCCACCAAGTACGGCGTGGACTCCGGCCCTGGCGGCGGCCTGCCGGGCCAGCGGCCATCACCTTCCTACCTCGACTCGACGTCCGCCTTCACCAAGGCCTACCTGGAGTCCTCCAAGATGTACATGGAAGCCAGCAAGGCCTACGCCAGCGACCACGGCGGCCTGCTGCGACCGGCGCCCGGCCACGGCATGGGCCACGCCTCTCACTACCCGCTCGACATCCAGAGGGTGAGTACGCCGAGGCAGCCCAACCAACGCATCCACTGTTACGGGCTTACACCACAACTGAGACTCCGCCACAAAGGCTGGGCGAAAATTTTCATGATCCAGTATCCGAAAGGTTGCCAGCTTGCGCCTGCATACTCCCGGTGCACTTTCTTAGATAGCAAAGCTTAGATGTTGCCTAGTTGGAGGCCTCAGGTTGGCTGCCCCTTCAAAACTTTTAAAAACGTTCTGCCCTGGCTGTTGCAATGGACCACGAGTTCATCTCCCTCCACTGTCTCGTTTCGTGTTCCAGTCGTACCCCGACAGCGTGGTGGGGGGCATGTCGGCGGGCGGGTCCACGCCGCGCAGCCCCAGCCAGTCCCCCGACGTGGTGGGCCGCGGACTCGGCCTCGGCCACGGCGGCCACGGCCCCGGCGACCGCCAGGACAACGGCGCCTCCTCGTCGGCGTCCTCGACCTCCTCGGCGGCGCCGTCGCCCGGCGGCTCGGCGGGCGGCTCGGCCTCGGCGTCGAGCGCCAGCGCGCAGGGGCAGGCCTCGGCCGCCGCGGCCGCCGCGTACTACGGCCAGCCCGGCCTCTACCCTTCGTACCACCAGCCGTCCTCCGCCGGCACCGAGTTCCGGCGGCCCCTCACGGTCATCTTCTGACCCGACAGGATGTGAGTCGCTGGCCTCGGCTCGCGGACTCCGACCTGACACGGCCCTCACGGCCACGGCCTCACAGCAAGGCCGAACCACGCACCAGGACGATGAGCAGGATTAGGTGGCATTTTGCGGCCTCTCACCGACACGGTTCTTCACCAGCCCGTGGAATAGTCAAAAGCAGGATGCGTCCCAACCTACATTTAGCCTGCTGAGCCACGTCGTTGTAGGAGCAGATACACCCTGCACCGTTTTCTTGTCGATAACCGTTCCGATAGAGAGTCTGGTTTAACTGTGCACTCAGTACTCGTTCCTAGTAATATGTAAGGCACAGCATGGTGCAAGCACTATCGTCGGTAAAACGATCTCAAGTCATCTAGTTCCAAATCGGTCTCAAATGTTTCCGATTCTTCAAAAGTGTTCTCTGTCCTCCAGTCTCCGTCTCACCTTGCAGCATTGTATTATACTCGCACAAAGTGTAAATTATGTATCAATTTTGTAACATAAACCTAGCTTTAATTTTATGATTTTGTGTCTTCTTTTTTGTACCATGTACAAAATCATTTATATGTCTGTGATTTTTTACTTTAATCTTCCAACACTTTGTAAACAACCTCTTGCTATCTATCGAAAAGTGCCCACTGTGTACATAAACTAGATTAAGCTTTCTTAGACTGCGATCAAAATGGATTAATTTCAACCAAGTGCTAGTTTTTCATCGCACCGAAAATAACGACAAGCGATAAAGAGCAAAAAGTACAAAAAATTGTTTCAAAAAATAAGAGAATGTTGTCATAATGCAATTACCCCAAATGAGATCATCAGATTTTCCTTCGCGATGCGACCCACATGTGGGTGCCTGTGGCCATAAGCACGGAATAAAATACTTTACGGAACAGACACAACGCCGTCCTTATTTGACTACCACTTTCCTGGCGAGTCTATCACGTGACAGAATCGCTGCGCCATGGCCACAAAGAAAATCAGGAAAAGGGAGGGGAAAAAAAGAAACACGCCATCAGTGTGGCTTTTCCCGCTACAATGCGCTTTGTTGCCCGGGGCTTGCCCGGGGGTGCGGTGTGCATAGGTGTCAGGCCCCGCCAGGTGCCGGCGTGTCCGCCGCATGGGAGCAGCAGGCTTGCAGCAGGTGTGGCAGTGAGGCCCAGCAGGTGAATGGGGCCACTCAATGACTAGCGCTCAGTGGGCCAGAAGGCCAGTGAGGCGGCCAAAACTCTAGACGCGTTTTGAGCTCCAGAGTCGCTAAATGAGGCTCGAACCGAACGTGTGACCGCATCAATGGATTCCTCGTTCGGAGAGCAATCCATTGGTGGGGTCACACGTTCGGTTCGATTCTCATCTAGCGACCCTGGAGCTCAAAACCCGTCTAGAGTTTTGGCCGCCTTCACCGGTCTTCTGGCCCACTGTGTAGCGGGCCGCGTACGCCACACGCCATCGAACAGGGGCAAAGGGGCAATAGTCGCTCTGTCTCTCCCACACTCGTGGGCCGTCGTGTAAGGGTGCGACAGAGAAGGAGCTGTTTCCGAATCAGTCGGTCGCGGCGACGGCGGTCGGATTCTGCTTCTGCTCTGCCTTTTGCGCGTGCCCTTACAGTGTGTACACGACGACGACGGTGCTCTGCATAAAAATGTCGTCTCGCGAAAGCACGCGCGCGTCGACAGAGCAGCGTAAGTGCGCATCGAGGCGGTGGCAGTTGCGGCAGTGTCGCCGCGGTGGACCGCGGGCCGCGTGGCGGTGGCCTATTCATGGAATATGTTAAGTGCATTAAGAGGATGAATGTGTTACTCTAACGACCACTTGTACAGTCAGAAGGACAACCGCGTCGTGTCTTTTTTATTCAGTTATACGAGTTTCTAATTTAAGGGGGATCAATATGCGCACATGCGGCAGCCCGCCGAACTGAAACTCCATGACTCGGTGCGAAAATTTCACAGTGTGACAGAGGTGGGCCCTTGTTCGCATATCTCACAGCTTATTATTACTGAGGAATGCGGCGCCAGTGACAATGGCCTGGAGACACTCTGCCCCGCGACGCGCGCAACTACGCTGATTGGCTGCCGAGATACGGCAGTCTTGCCTCGATCCCGGGAACAGCGACAATGGCACAACAATCCGAGGACAAAACGCGACAACAGAACTCGGTGCGACTTGGAGCGAGTGCGCGCATCAGCGAACAGGCACAGAAACAGCAGTGGCAAGTGAGAGGAGCACTGTGAGGCGCTAGGAGGGTCGGAGGGAAGGGTTGGAGGCCAAGAAATATGGGTCGAGGCAGAGCTAAAGGTCGCAAGGAGAACGCATGGCACAGACAAGAAAAGAGAAGAAGTAGTACAACTAAAGGTACTGTAGTCAGCCGAAAAAAGGGTTGATGCAGTCGAGGTTTAAGTCGAGAACAGGATCAAAGCAGTATCGTCCTAAGGGTCGTAGGCCAAGAAAAGGGTCGAAGAACAAAGACAGAGGTTGTTTAGAGAGAAACGACTGAACTGGATGATGAGAACCATATGCAAGCCACGAAAGCACAAGCCGGCTGTGGCCGACCCGAAACTCAGGGTCGCGGTCGTGGTCGAAGGGTCGGATGAAGGCAGACCCTGGCTAAGGGTCGGATGCAGATACTGCAGCGAGGGTGGTGGATGGCTTCGCTCCCCTCCTCGCCAGCCTCGCCAGCTTGGCGGCCACATAATATCATTTTTAACAGCCATAGAACACTTTACCCATTCAATAATCTGAATAAACGCGGGCCTCGCCACGCGTGCGCGGCGTATTGTGTCAGCAGGCACACTGTACTGCGCCACCCTCGGCCCGCCGGCCCCCTCAAGTCGCCATTGTGCGTCCCCGACTGGGCGAGGGGAGGGAGGGGGAGTCTGGAGAAAGGGGTAGACCGGGTGCGCACTTTTAAGTTGGCGCGGAATCACCATCTCCGCTGGGCCGCGACCTCTGCCCCGGCAAGACTGATTCCGAAAAAGGGCTTTCGTCAATCTGTCTCCCTTGCACTTGTGGGGCGTCCTGCAGGGAGAGAGACGGAGCCATGCAACATTGTTCAGAATCATCGTGCAGCAACAAAACACCGATGAAGCGTGCGCAGCGGCGGGGATTCGAACCCGGGGACTCGCCGCCAGCGATCTAGACCCAGACCGGGGGTGGTGTTCTCGCCGCGGGGCCGCGGGGCCACAACGCACGGCTTCTGTGCAGTCAAAGAATACACACGAGCCGCAAAGCGAACCCAGTGGCAAACGTTATTTTGAAAGGCTTCTCGCACCCCTTCGCTGCACCTGACTATCCTGATAATGCGGGGGCGGTGCGACGGAGGGAGAAAGAGAGAGAGGGAGAGAGAGGGAGAGAGAGGGGCGGGGGGTGCGCATGAAAGAGGCCGGCAATGTGTCTGTCGCCCTATAAATGAGGGCGAAATGTTGGGATATGACGCACACAAAGCTGACGTGACAATGCGATCTCCGAGATTGGGTGTTGTCAAGCGCCGCTCAAAGCGGAAGGGAGGGGAAGGGGAGAGGGAGCGGGAGGGGAGAGGGAAGGGGGGGGGGAGGAAGAGTGGGAGGAGAAAGGGGAGGAAGGATCGAATGGGAGAGGTTTCGGCTTAAAATATTCTTGGAAAAATTGTCCCTTTTTTCGTGTTGGTCTGTGTTGTTGTTTTTGTTGTTGTTTTTATTGTTGTTGTTACGTCCATTCTTCGACTGGTAGGAACGCGACGCGGAGCCGCGGCAAATAAGGCGGGAAAAAGCAAGAAAGGGGGTGGCGCCTTTAAAAACCCGCCACTTCCAGTGGGCCGACTCCGAACGCGCGCGTCGCTCCGTCTCTCTCGCACGCCGTCGGGACGACTAGTGAGAGGGACAGAGACAGAGCGACGGAAGCCGGACACGCGGAATCAGTCCGCTGGAGCGGCGCAAACAGGCGGGAATAAACACCAAACAAGCGCCGCTACAGTGTAGAGTCCAATGCAAACCGCTAGAATGTTCGGACCAGAAAATGGAGGGCGCTTTGTAGGCGACTTGCTACACCGACTTCAAGGGACAAGACAGAGATGGGACACCAAGTGGGGACTAGAGCAGGGGGTGCGGGGCCTTCCAACCCCCTCCTCTCTTTTCATACAGCCGAGATAGATAGACGAACCATTAGCCGGCCACCACCACAACAACACCAACAACAATGACAACAACAGCAAGAGGCGCACGATTAACGATCCGTAAAATTTAATCTCGACTAACCACGCGGAAATTACGCGCGCGAGAGTGTCCTTCTTATGCAGCGCGAGACAAAAGTGACAAGAGTTTGCATATGCCGGTGTAATGACTAATAAAACGGGAAGCGTGCCGGCCGACACACACAAACACGCGCGCGCGCACACACACACACACACACACACACACACACACACACACACACACACACACACACACACACACAAACACACACGCCCAGAGGCGAGCGCAGATGCAGGGATTCGGTATGCACAAGTCATGCTTACGAGTCGTTTGTTGCAACCCTTTGAAACTGGCGCGTTTATTGCAAATTTCCGTGCCGCGTGCGGGTGCGTGCATAAATATGCGTAGAATCACACCGGGACGAGACAATTTTTTATTTTTTTCGCCGAGCCGCATGATGGTGGCAGGCAGATGCTGCGAGGGAGTACCGGTTACGGTGGCAAGTGCGAGAATCACAGGGTCGCGACTTC